AGAAATCACTTGTAAATAAGATCATGGATTAGCGATTTTGATGGAATTAATATTTACTTAGCTGTCATTTGCTAGTAGGGTGATGTTTTTTATTTGGGAGCTGAATATCACAGGCTATTAGAATCTCTAAATGAGCATTTAGCAGTGAAAATGTCTGGGAGGGGGCTGTGCAGTGAGTGTCAGTACACGAAGCAGGCCATGCATAACATAATAGCACCTTAGGGACTGTCTTTAATCTCTGAGACTGTACATTAGCGGCTGGCACTGTGGGGAAGCAGGATCAGCCACTTCCAGTAATAAAACTGGCACCTCTGAGGGCCCTTTCAATTTCTCAACTGTTCTGGTTCTGATCCAGCTCTCTGCTAACGTGACTGGGGAAGCAGCAGAAGGAGTGTGGGCCTCTGCCACTCACATGGGGGACCTGAATGAAACCCCTTGCCCTGGCGATGTAGCCCTTTGGCTTATGAATCAATGGATGGGAGATCCACTCTCAGTCTCTTTTAATTTCTGTAACTTTGTCTTTCAAATTAATCAATGAACGAATCACAAAAATACAAAAGCATAATGAAATGCAAAGTAATGGTAGTCACCTATGACAAATATGTTCAATTCCCTCTCTAAAAAACAATCAGTTAAGGAAATTTATATCAATTCAACATTGTTTTTGGTTCTTACTCTATATGAAAATTAATTACTTTAGTTGTAGAGAAAAGTCTAGAGTAGATGAATTGAAGTAAGGAGAAACCAAATTATATTCAAGATGTTGGGATATTCCTTTCTTGTGGTAAGAGAAACAAGAAGACGTTTTTTGAGAAGATAAAGTAGATAAACCTTTAGCTAGACTGACAAAGAAAAAAAAGAGAAAAATTCAAATAAATCAAGTTAGAGATGAAAAGGAGGTTATTTCAAATGATAGCAATACCACAGAAATACAAAGGGGCTAAAGAAACTACTGTGAAAAACTATATATAACAGATTGGAACAGCTCAAATAAATAAATAAATTTCTCAGTACATATGAGCAACCAAGATTAATTCAAGAAGATCTGGAAAGCCGACCTATAATGAGCAACAAGACTAGAATAAAAACTAAGCCATCCATCAAAGAAAAATCCAACACTTGATGGTTTCACCATGGAATTATACATCATGTTTAAAGAGGAACTAACAAATACTTTTCATACTATTCAAAAATACTGAACATGATGGAATTCTGTCAAACTCTTGATGAGGTCAAATTAATACCAAAAGCGAACAAAGAAACAACACAGAAAGAAAGGCACAGACCAATAACCCTAATGAACAGCAATGTAAAAATTCTGCATGAAATACCAGCACACTGAATCCAGCACTGCATCAACACGAACACACATAATTAAGGGGCCTTTATCTCAGAGATGCGCAGGTGGCTCCACACTCACCATACATCACATCAACAGAATGAGAAGAAGAAAAAGAAGAAAAAAAACCCACACAGAAAAACACTGATCATCTCAGTACATGCCAACCTGTTTTCTGAATACAAAAAGTCCTCCATAAATTAGATAGAGAAGGAACATATCTCAAGTTTATAAAGACTATACTGTGATAAAATAATAGTCAATGTCATACAGAACAGGGAAAAGCTAAAACTGTTTCCCCTCAGATCTGGAACAAGACAATATTCATGTCTGTAGGTGATATCATGGTGTACATGAAAAACCTAAACACTCCACCACAAAAGCTGTTAGAACTGACAAACCAATACAGAGAAGGTACAAGTTACAGAACTAACATATAAAAACAACAGCAATTCTATCACTTCTCGACCTTTTGGCTAAGATCAAGTGTAAAAACAACAGCAATTTTATACACCAATAATAAATTTGTTGAAAGAGCAATCAAGAAAGAAATTTCATTCACAATGGCCACAAAAATTAAATATTTAGGAATAATTTAGCTAAAGAAGAGAAATATTTCTACAAAAAATTATAATACATGGATAAAAGTAATCATCAGAGACACTACACACACACACACACACACACACACACACACACACACACACACACACAACCGAAAAAGTAGAAAGATTCCTTTCTCATGGATTGACAGAATATCATTAAAAAGTCTATGCTAACTAAAGTAATAGATGAGTTTAATACAATCCCCATCAAAGTACCAATGGTATTCTTTTTTTTTAAGGATTATTTTTATTGGAAAGGCAGATCAGATTTTATGATGAGAAGGAGAGACAGAGAGTAAGATATTTTATCTGTTGGTTTATTCCCTGGGCAGCCTCAATGGCCTGAGCTGAGCTGATCTGATGCCAGGAGCTTCTTACCAATTTCACACTTGAGTGCAGGACCCCAAAGCTTTAGGACATCCTCTACTTCTTTTCTAAGCTGAAGGCAGAGAGATGGATGGGAAGTAGAGCAGCCGGGGCACAAACTGGTGCCTGTATGGAATCCTGGCACTTGCAAAATGAGGATTTTAGTCAATGGAGCCGTTACTCCAGGCCAATGACATTCTTTACTGAATTTGAAAAGTCAGTCTAAAATGTATTGGAATCACAGGAGACCCAGAATAGCCAAAGCTATCCCTCTCCCCCCAAAAAAGTTGACCTGAAGGTATCATAATACCTGATTTCAAAGCATAATACAAAGATGCTGTGAAAGTGTGGTTCTGGCACAGTGCTGTTCCATAGGTGAACAGAACAGAGAGCTCAGAAGTTAAGTCATGTACAAAGAACCAACTCATTTTTGACATAAGTGCCAGAACATAGGGTGGATGAAGGGATAAGCTCTTCAAGGTGCAGGCAACAAAAGCAAAACTCCACAAATGGGATTCTAACAAATGCAGAAGATTCTGCATTGCAAAGGAAACAACGGAGTAAGAGACACTCAACAGAATGGGAGAAAATTTATCCAGCAGAGGGAGAAGATTCAGAATATACCAGCAACTCAAAAAATGTAATTATAAAAAGCAAACGATCCAGTTTAGAAGTTGGTAAAGGACCTGAGGAGATAGTTCTTAGAAGAAGGAATACAAATGGCCAAGAAATATGTGGAAAATGCTAAAAAATCATTGCCTTTACAGAAATATAAATCCAAATTGTAATGAGACATCACCCAGTCCTTATCAGAATGGCTATTATCCCAAAGACAGCAACAAGTGACTGGAGAGGGTGTGGCCAAAAGGGAATTCTTGTAAATGAGTTACATTAGCATAGGCTCCATGGAAGAGTATGGAGATTTCTTAAAACAACAACAGAAACATATTTGCCATATAATTCAGCAATCTCACTACTAAATATAGACCCAAAACACATGGGTTGACATTATGAAACAGACAGCTGCTCCAACATGTTAACAGCAGCTCTTTTACGATTGCCAGAATGTGGAATCAATTGAGATGTCTCAGATTAATGGATAAAGAAAAGATGCACTCACACACTGGAATATAAAAAGGAACAAAATTCTATCACCTGCAACAAATTGATTGGACCTGGAGGGCACCATCATTGAATAAGTCAGACACAGAAAGACAAATATTTGTCCAGTATATAGAAGCCAAAATCAATAAAAAAGATCTAAAGGAACTATCATTTTGCTGCAAAAATAATGCTCTGGCAAACTTCAATTTGCTAAACAAATTGATAGTAATTACATACTATCGTAATTTAAAGATTATGACTTTTTAAAATGTAAGTAAAGTTGAATACCTTTTCAATTGAATATTTATGGTAATACTAGTAAGCCTTTGAGTAGAAGGTAAATTAAAAACTTATCTCAAAAAATAAAATATTAAGTTGAAAACATTTTCTAGCAGAGGAAATGGAAGATCTAGTGCATCTTTTTTTGTTTTTGTTAATCTAGTGTGTTTCATAAGACGATCTGTGCTTGTCATTTTCCTAATATTTTTTTATATGACTTTTCATTCTACATTCTATTTTAATATTTTACTTGCTTTTCCTCCTACCAGTTATTCTAACAATCCATGGATTAAAAAATTAGAATGTCAAAAATTCATGTATTGTAACCCATACAGTCCTGATATTTCTAAAAAGTATAATAAAATAAAAAAATGAAAACAAGGATAAGCTTGAATGAGAGTTCCCCATGTGGGCCTGGCATGGCTAAAGTCCTTGCCTTGCAGACACTGGGATACCATATGGGCACTTGTTCTCATCCCGATGGCTCTGCTTCCCATCTAGCTCCCTGCTTTTGACCTGGGAAAGCAGTCGAGGACTGCCCAAAGCCTTGGGACCCTGCACCCACATGGGAGACCTAGAAGAAGCTCCTGGTTCCTGGCTTCAGATTTACTCAGCTCTGGCCATTGAGGCTACTTGGGGAATGAATCTTTGGACAGAAGATCTTCCTGTCTGTCTCTCCACCCTCCCCTCCATATACATTTGACCTTTCAATAAAAAGAAATCTCTTTTTTAAAAAGTTCTCTAGGTATTTACTTGATAACACTGAAGGATGAAAGACAACCTACAATTTTTACTTAGTGGGTACAATTTTGCCTAATAGTTTAAATCACATATTTATTTTGGATTCAGACTGGCATAGGTTCAAATTTCTGCTCTTAACTGTTGGTTTCTGTAAAGTTATTTGTTTTCTATAGAGTTCTCCTTCCTCTTTTGTGAAATGATGATAATATTACCCACTCCATTGATACATGGAATGCATAGATACTAGTGCCTCTTGGGCAGTCAGTGAACTATGATCATGATGGTGGTGGTAGTGACAGTGGGGGATGTGGTGATATAGGTCCTCAAGTGCAGTGCTTTAAAACAGGCACTGAGAATTCCCTTTAAATGAATTCTTAAGGGGAATGCCAGCGTCAAACATAAACAAGAGAATGAGAACTACCTTGCTCAGCCAGCCCTTCTTCCTACCAGTTGCCTTCCTTAGTAATCCCAGAAGCTTACCAGGAGCTCTCAGCACTGAGCCAAGTACAGTTTGCATATCTATGGCAGGAAATTGGCAAAGAAATGGCAAGATCATCTTTTCTTACTTTAGGTCCAATGGAGGTTTAATGTTTCTGGGAGGTAGGCTTGGGACTGGTGGTTGTGTTGGGTGAGCTGCTGGCAGTGGTGGCTGGCTGGTTGGATGGGATGGTGGAGGTGGTGGCGGGGAAGTTGCTGAGTAAGATGTCTGGCCTTTGTTGGTACCTGAGAAAGAAAGCAAACAACAACACAAGCTAAGAAAAATTTTAAAATGTAACAAGCAGCTGTACCAAATGCAGATTTTTGACTCCAAAAAATGTAAGAGATGCATCTCAAACTCAGTGAATACTTGAATTTAATTTTCTGGAGTGAATAGTGGTGTTGTATAATGGTTTAGGATTTGCAATGGCTTGCAATGCCTATATCTCAAATCATAGTGCCTGGGTTTGAGTGCTAATTGTGGTCCTGTTTTCAGCTACCTGCCAATTCACATCCTGAAAGGTGACAGGTGATGGCTGAAGCACTTGGTCCCTGCCATCCAGGTGGGAGACCAGCGTTGAGTTCCCAGTCCCTTGTTTTTGGTCCAGCTATTTCAGACATTCGAAGTGTAATCCAGTGCATGGGAGACTTCTTTTAAATAAAATGACTACATAAATGATGTCCAAAATTTAAGAATATGGCATTACAAATATTATGGGGCATTGCATCAAAAATGTTTTGTTCCTTTATTTGTGAGAAAGAGAAGAGCTCCCACGTGTCTGCAAAAACCATGGCTGATACAAAGCTAAAGCTGGGAGGAGGAAATTCTTTCAGCTTTTCCATGTGAGTAGCAGAAATCCTGCTAACTTGAGTCACTCCCACTGACCTCCCACTGACACTGTCACTCCCACTGACACGCGCATTAGCAGAAAGCTAGGGTCGGGAGGAGAGGTGAGGATGTCTACACCAACTGCCTGTCCCTGGATGTTGCATTTGTGTGCTGCATTTCTTGCAATAGGTACATTCTTTAATTTTAATTCCTATTGTTAAAAATAATTTTTCTTACCGTAGTTTTTGTAGGCCTAAGTTTTAATATCCGAATTTTGTGAACAAATCTTTATCTACTTTTGTACCTATATCAACTTTATCTTCTTACAAATACAATTCTTATCCCTTTGAACCTTTATTTTAGACCAAAGAGGTATAGTTATCACATTACTCCCATAGGTTACACAGTTAATTGCTTTCAATGATGCCTGTGACTGTTTAATGCGAATTAGGCTTTCTCTGAGATGTGACTTTTAAATATCAAAACAATGTCCCAAGTATATTAGATTCATTGTAGAAGATAATATGAGGATGAGCAAAGCAAAAGATCACTGAATCATAACCCATTATTCAGCTCAAACTATTGAGTTGTATTTATTTCAGAGCAATTTGTGTAAACATATGCTTTTATAGGAGGGAGCAAAATGCAAACATTTTGCTATTTCACTATGATTTTTTTTGATTGTTTTGTTTTCCCCAATATCAATAAGTAGTGTGATTTTTTTTAGTAATTTTTCTTTCCCAGCAGGCATTTGGGTCAACAGGTAAGTCACTGCCTAGGATCCCTCTGTTCTACATAGGAGTGCCTAATTTGAGTTCCCTCTACTTTACTTCCAATCCAGCTTCCTGTTGATAATCACATACCCTAAGATAGCTCACATACTTGGATCCCAGCCTCCTGCATGGAAGACCCGGACTCCTGGCTAATTCAGCTTGGCCCAGCCCTGTTGTAGGCATTTGATCAAAAACATGGCAAATGAGAGACCCCTCTAGTTCCTCTTCTGTTTCTCTGTCTTCCAGATGAAATAGAAGTAACTGCTCTTTCTTTCTTTCTATTTTTTAAAGGAATTTATTTATTTGGAAAAGAGTGAGCGTGTGCTTGATGTTCATCTGTTGGCTTACTCCCCAAATGACTGAAACACTGGAACTGGGCTGGTTTGAATCCAGGAGACATGACCTTTTTCTTTTGCAAATACTTCTGCATTGCTCTTACTGCATGTGCACCTCTAAGTGTTTGATCCATGGCTTCCCTAACAATATTGACTTTATGAGTTTGACATATATTTGTGCTTTCTTCTACTTCCAGTATAGTGAGAATATTTATGATGAAATATGCATCCATTGCTCTCGTTATGATTACGTAAGCATTGTTCTTTGTTGAGTCAAACACTGTAGTATGCTTACATTCCCTTTTTCATTCAAGTTACTGTTTGCTGGCCATTACTAGTAGCCTTGCTTTAGGATTTGCAGAGAATTTTGCATAGCAGTTGGACAGTGCTTAGAATGCCCACATCCTACACCGGAGTGCTTGGGGTGGGTGGGGGTATGAGCAAACCATTATCCAAAGGGAAGGAAGAAATGCTAGACACTTGTGACTTATTTTCTTGGAAAAGATTTTGGCAAGCAGGAGGCCTTGCTGTGTGAGTGCTTAAGGCCCGGAGATAGGAAGTCATGTAGACCCAGCTCAGTGAGATGGATGAGGTCTGTCCCCTGGGAACACTGGCAGCTTCCTTGCACCTTCTGCCTTCTCCTCGGCTGACGGGATTTTTCTGATGAGGCATTTGTGTGGGACCCATACCTGTTCAGCTCACCTGGCCATTCAGACTCCTTTCCTCAGTCATGTAGCCTGAGAAAGCCCTTTAAGGGGCATGCTTGCTTTCCCTGCTGCCTTAGAAATGGAGTGGTCCTCCTCAGGTGGTTGACAGCCATGTTGCCCTGTCAAGGGCCAGGCCTCACCCAAGGGTGCTGCAAAGCCACAGGAGGGCAGAGCCCAGAGACAGAAAGGACTTCTAGGATCTAGTGAAAATCATCTCTGGAAAGTTGTCACATCTAATTTAAAGAACTTCAGGGGGGCCAACATTGTTTCAGTGTTGTGTTTCTGAACAAGATAGGGAAATGTCTGCGAACATCTCCCAGGGTCATAGGAGCAGTTAATGATAAAACATTTTGCTTTGCAAAATTTATGGCTGCTTTCAAATATTAAAAGGAACACATTTGCATGACCACAAAATAATTTAGAGGGAAAGCATCTTGTTTTATTTTTTGGAAATTAAGTAGATTATCTTAGTATAATTTGATCAACTCTGCACTGTCAAATGCTGACAGTTAAGCAAAAGCATTTCTCTTCTCTCTCTTTTTTTTTTTTTTTGGTCTGGCGCAGAAATAGGATGAGTAAACAGAGTAAAGAAGAAACAGAAACCCAAATCTACAGGAGATTTTGGGTAATAATAACATTAAGTAGCATGAATTAATCACCCAATTTCTGTGTGGGACTATGCCAGGCAATTTCCATAGTAATCTTGTTTATCTGCTATAACAACTCTCTGGGGTAAATGTTATCTACTGGTTTCCACTTGGTGGTTAAGAAAATTCCCTAAATTCACACAGTTGGTAAGCAATTAAGATGAAGTCAAGGGCCTGGCGCCATGGACTGGTGGCTAAAGTCCTTGCCTTGAATGCACCAGGATTCCATATGGATGCCGGTTCTAATCGCAGCCACACCGCTTCCCATCCAGCTCCCTGCTTGTGGCGTGGGAAAGCAGTCCAATAAAAATAAATAAACCTTTTTTGTTTTTAAAGATGGGAGTCAAACTCAGCCCCAATTTTCTTTCTTTCTTCTTTTTTTTTTTTTAAATTTTTCTTTTCTTCTTTTTAAATTTAAATTTTAAAATAATGATTACATGGTTAATCAGGGTGGGAAGGATTGAGGTTTAGGGAAAATTGAGTGAACTCATTATTTCCAAATTTGTTATATTTTCATGTTTCTAGCAGAAGGGGAAAGGCAAAGGGAGAAGCCACACACGACTTTTCAAATGTCCCAGTACTCATGGATGAGGAACTGCCACCTCATATCAACGCAGGGTCATAATATGTACATATTTTGAGGGTTCTGCACAAGTGATTTGAATAGTTCTGTAATGGTGTTGATTTCACTGATCCAAGGATGATGCAGCTCTCCCAATGTCCATTGGCTGACATAGTAAGGCTCAAGTCTCCATTCATTGAGATTTTTTGCTCTTTGTTTGACTGGGGTAGTTGCCCAGTTTTTTCTGTTCTTCTGCTATGGCACCAAATGAGCTGTCATATTCTCCTTTTATGTCAGGGTCTGTGTCCACTGCTCTGCTTTTTTCACCAAGTAGGACATGTTTTCGCAGGACCAGGGCCAGGCGTCCCAAGCCTTGCTAGATCACCCGCCTGAGGGGCTCACAAACCTGGTACCCACCTCACAGGCAGGCCCCAAGATCCAGGTCAGGTAACTTCGGTCCCTCCAGAACCCCCAATCCCTGGGGCTCACAAACCCAGCATCCATCTAAAAGTTGGGTCCCAGGCCCCAGGCCAAGAGATCTGATTCCTGCTGGGTCCCCTACTCTTGGGGCTCACGAACTGGCACCCACCTCGCAGGTGGGCCAAGAACTGGACCTGGCGACCCAAACCTCACCGGATCCCCCAACCTTGAGGCTCACAAACCTAGCACCCCCTTTCAGCCCCAATTTTGATCTCAGTCAGTATCTTCTGATGTCTAGGTGACTTTGGCTATGTTCTGCTATTTCTGAAGGCAATGATGTGGAAAGTATTGGTAAGTTCAAATAGATGCATTAATAAAATTTCCAGGGCTGACATTATGGCATAGGAGGGAGAGCTGCTGGTAGGTCATAAGAACACTGGTTCCCATCTTGGCTGGTTGACTTTGATCCAGCCCTCTTTCAGCTTAGAAAGAACTGCACGAGATGGCCTAAGTGTGGGATTTTGCCACTTATGTGAGAAACCTGGATGAAGTTCCCAGCTCTTGGCATCAGCCTGGCCCGGCCGTTGATTTGGGCATCTGGGGAATGAACTGGGGATGAAAGAGCTCTCTATCTCTGCCTGCTTTGTACCCACCTCCCTGTCTCCAATCAAGTAACTCTGACTTTCAAATAAACAAACACGTCTTACTAAATACATAAATAAATTTCCCTAAGATTTGAGCATAACTCCAGTTGTATTTTTCATTCATACTCTTCCTTTTTGTAATTTTTGTAAGAATTCTTGCTTAATGTGGGGCAGAACCAGCTCAAGAGGCATAATATTCACATGTATGATATTTTAGATGCTAAGTTTATGATACTTTAAAATTTGATTTTGGAAAGCAGGGAGCAGGATTGTAGACATTCAGGAGCTTAATGGGAAGTAGGCTAAGATTAGACCTTAGTTGGCATAAA